ATTTTCTTGGCATCTTCAATGTGGAGGGCAACATCTGTTTTGGAAAATATTGGGAGGTAGGTGGTGGTAAGAAGATGGAGTGGTGAGCTTGGAATCTACCAAGCAGGAAGGGAGAGAAAATTCCATTGCCTGGAAAGTAGTATTGGGCCACATGATTGAGTGAAGAGATTTATTATTCATGACATAATGCTGGACCCAATTGTATATGACTTTGATATCCAACTCAAAGTTTCTTTCATTCGACAGAATTCCAAGTACTTGCCCAGTTCTTTTTTTCATGATGTATAGAGTTTCCCACCTTGAGGTCATGTTTTCAACTCGATCTTTTACTTACAGGTTGGGATTCAAAAAGGATAGCATATTACTGCTTAATTCCCCCAGGACTCTATGGATAACCCTACAAGATTGGGTTGTTTTCTAGTATTGTTGCTCATAATTTCCCATCAGTGCACTCTCTGCTAATTATCATTCAGAATAATTTGACTTTTAGAGAGGGAAGTATTTTAGGAATAGGCATAGCAAGGACAGTTGTTATAGAAATGTGCCTCCAACTTGGGGTACATTCTCCTTTTGCACATACTGTCTTTGAATAGAGTTGGCTCAAATCTAGAGGGCATGTCTGGACCAAAGACCTACTCACTCCTCCTGGCTATTGGCTGTCCTTTTCTCTCTTTTTGGGATCCTCATGGAGTATCCTTTAGGTGTAGCTGCCTTTCAGTTCCAAGAATTGACACTCTTGTAGAATCCTGAAGCTGTATGTTCTCCATGTGTCTCACTTGTCCTTGATATTTCTCTCAGCTACCAATGTACATGTTCTCAATCAGTCAATGCTATTTCAGGGACACTGCTATCCACTATAATAAGAAATTCATATCTTCTAACCTATCAACATTCTCAAGGTCATAACATTTTTAATGAGGGGAGGGAGTGGCAATTTCTTTTCAGGAGGACTTCACCATTGAATTCAACTATTGCTCTCCTGACTTGATAGTAGAATGTGAGATTTCGAACTAGTTTGCTTTGTTTATGTATGGGACCGTCTTATTCTTTCAGTAATCAAAAGAGATTTTCTTTTGTATTATTATTTTGTGTTAGATCATCTGGCTTTATGAAGTAATAAAAAGTAATAAAAGACTTTTACCAAAATGATTAAGAAATTATTCAAATCTAACTCTCACCTTAGATGGATTAATTCAATGTAGCTGACTAGGCCTTCTGTGATTATATTAATTGGAATGGGAATGGAAACTCTCACAATTACATGTGTGTATAAGACTGCTTTAAAATATAGTAGGGTATCTAAACTTGATCTAATATCAATCCTTATATATTCCCTTAATTTAATCAAGGCAATGTGAAATTTATATTGAAAAAAACAAACAAACCTTGCTGGGTTATAAGGGCAAAGTGATAGACAGTATTACTGAATTTGTGGATGCTATGAAGCTGGGAGAAATAACTAACACATTGGACAGCAGAATCTTTCTCCAAAATGATTTTGATTAATGAGACATATTGAATAAGATGAATGTTATAGAGATGAAAGTGGAGGCCTATACTTGGGTAAAAATGACTTCACATATACAAAATGCACTAAATTTCTATTGATTAGAGAAATCCAAATGAAAACAACTCTGAGATACCACCTCACACCTATCAGATTGGCTAAAATGACAGAAAAGGAAAATGACAAATGTTGGAGGGGATATGGGAAAATTGGGACACTAATGCACTGTTGGTGGAGTTGTGAACTGATCAACCATTCTAATCAACCAAGCAATTTGTAACTATACCCAAAGGACTATTAAACTGTGCATACACTTACTAGGTCTGTATCCCAAAGACATAAAAAAGGAAAAAAAACCCCTACATGTACAAAACTATTTATAGCAGCTCTTTTTGTGGTGGCAAAGAATTGGAAATTAAAGAGAAGCCCCATCAGTTTAGGAATGGCTGAACAAATTGTGGCATATGATTGTAATGGAGTACTATTGTGCTATAAGAAATGATAAGCAGGATGCTTTCAGGAAAACCTGGAAAGACTTACATGAACTGGTGCAAAGTGAAGTGGGCAAAACCAGGAGAACATTGTGCACAGTAGCTGCAATATTGTATGATGATCACTTATGAATAACTTTTAGCTATTCTCAACAATAAAAAGATACAAGAGAATTCTGAAGCACCTATGATGAAAAATGCTCTCTACTTCTAGAGAAAGAACTGATGGAATCTGAATGCAGATTGAAGCGTACTGTTTGTGTTTTTTAAACTTTATTTTTCTTGTTTTTTTTTTTTGGTCTGTGTTTTCTTTCAAAACTTAATATGGAAATATGCTTTGCGTGACTGCATATGTATAACCTTTACCATTTGCATTCTTAATGAGGGGGTAGGTGAGGGATGGTGGGAGAGAATTTGGAACTCAAAATTGTAAAAAAAATAAAGGTTGAAACTTGTTTTTACATTTAAGTGGAAAAATAAAATATTAAAATTTAAGAACTTAAAAAGTAAATGTAGGAGTTGAGAAGGAGGAAATATTAATGTGGTCTGAAGTGTTTGGGGGTGGTTTCATGGTTCTGGTGAGACCTGAACTTTGAAAATGAATAGGGTATGTGTTATATGCTGTGGTGTGCTGTGGTGTAGCATGTGTGTATGTGTGTGTGTGTGTGTGTGAGTGTGTGTGTGTGTGTGTGTGTATCCCCATTTCTCCTTTAACAGGTCTGGGAACCATTATAACTATCAGACACCAAGATTGTCTTTGAAGATTATAGTCCACTTTTTTGGAGGGGGAATTCCATATTACTCTTCTCTCTTTAGTAAGGAACTTTATTCAAAGTGGATAGTGCCTATCCTGTGAATAATCAGAATAGAAGGCATGTGCCTCAGCACCTACTTCATAATGGACCATGAATAGATGATCCTACTTCCTCTTAAGGAGTTAGCATCTTGCTTTCCTCTACCCTGGTTAGACCATTCACTTTTGAATGCTCTGTTTCAGAAGGGATATTGACAAATAGAAACACATCCTGAAGAAGGAAGCTGGAATGGTAAAGGAAATAGATTCTATGCCATGTGAGAACTAGTTGAACGTCCTGAAGATTTACCCTGGAGAAGAGGTAACATGGAGTAATATTGTCAATAAGTAATTGATGTTCTGTCATAAGAAAGAAAAATCAGAGAGATTTGGTTTGTGACCAGAGGTTAAAAACTAGTGGTTTTGGTGGAGTTGTGGAGATACAGATCAATGCTTTGTAACAAGATCTTTCAAAACATCAATACTCTTCCAAATCAGAATGGACTGTCTTGGGAAGAAGTAAGTTCCCTCAATTTGTGGAGATTTGTCAGCAGAGGTTAGGTGGCCAGAAATGCTATACAGATGGTTTATATTCAGCCAAAGGGTGGAGTACAAAAACTCTGTCTTTTAGCTCAGATATTTTATGATTCTGCATGGGAGATATAGAAGGCTGCTAGAAATACCCTAATGTTTGGAAGACTGCCTATGGTTCTGAAAAACTATGGCTTCCAGAAGCTTTAAGGGCAGGGTCTAACTTAAGAATGAGTAGCTGTCTGAGGTGCTGACCAAATTGTCCGATGTGCTTATGCTCAGGGGTTGCACCTAAGTACATAAGAACCGCTGAGGTTCCAGAGGGCACTCTGGGGAAGGCAAGAGGGATTAAAGTATGAATTTTAAGAGAAGTGATGGCGATTGTTTTGGCAGCTCCTTGAAAAGTGACCAAGGTTGTGGAAACATGGAGGAAGTTATCTGAGGGGAAAATATTATTTATGTAATAGTTTGGTAGGTCATGGTAACAAGGAGGATTTCTTTCTTTGTGTCAGGATTATGGGCAAGGGTGGTAATAGAGTGAATAGCAGCTAGCTTTATTGCATGCTGTAGACAAGGAAAGTTCTTAGTTGGCTATAACTCAGTTGTATTTTCATGCAATTATAAGCATGCAGAGGTGGTGCTAATCAGGTTAATTTGAGACAGAGGAAGATGGGTGATTATTGTTGATAGTAAATAGACTGTACACAATTGTGTAGCCTTTGAGTGTATGTGTTTGTTCATGGGGAGTGATTCTTATAGAGTCAGAGATTCAGAGTTCAAAGAACTTGGACTTTAATATAGTATCTAGTTCAAGCCTCTCATTTTGTGGTTGAGGAAACCAAGAAGCTAATTGACATAGTTAAGGTCTTAGAGATGGTAAGCAATGGAGTCAGACCATAGGTCTTCTGATTAATAACCCATTGCTATTTCCACCATGATTCCATCATGCTATGTGTGGGAAAGATGAGGCTTCATTATTTGGGAAGTATCTCCAATTTGGACATTGCTTCTGTATCTCTTTTTTATAGTGATCCATAAGAAGGAGGTTGGAGGAATTGTATGTCACATCTGAATTTTTATTTCTCCCAGGCACCTTGGTGCTGTGACAATGCTTGGCACCTTGTAGTGGTATGGGGTTGTCAATCTTTGGGATAAGACCTTTCTGACATAGCTAATGCTACATCTCTGAGATTGCAACTATCAAAGGCTTTGTCCCATTTACATTTGGGTGTGTTTGAAAGTGTCATGGACAGAGTATAGTGATGCATGCCTCTAATCTCAGAATTTGGGGAGTTGTGAGCTACAGTAAACTAAGCTGCTTAGGTGTCCACAGTAAGTCCAGTATTAATATGGTGATCACTTAGAGACAAGGGCTGACCGGGCTGCCTGAGGAGGAGAGAATTAGCCCAGGTAACAAACAGCACATGTCAAAGTTCCCATACTGGTCAACAGTGGGATTGGACCATTGATTGACTGCTGCATGTTCAGCTTTGGCGATATAGTGAGACTCAGTCCAAACAAAAGGAAAGTATCACAGAGCAAACAATCCTGGTAGTTGGAGGAATCTGTGTAAAACCAATGATTGTCTTGATAACCAGTTATCAAGACAACAGTTATATTTTAACAACAGTGATCCCATCACCTTTGGGCTACAGAAAAGGGATCCAAAGATCTTGTACTAGGGGACATTCTTCTCTCCCAATAGTTTCTGTAAGGCCCCTTTCACATCTTTGTTCCGAAGGCTGTAGATAAGGGGGTTGAGCATGGGTGTCACAACACCATAGAGCATGGAGATAATCTTGTCCCTGTCCCTGCTGGCTTTGTCCTGGGGCATCATGTACATGGAGATTGCTGTCCCATAGAAGATAATTACCACAGTGAGGTGGGAGCTACAGGTGGAGAAAGCCTTCTTTCTACCCTCAGCTGAACGCATTTTCAGCACAGCCCCAAGAATGCGCCCATAGGAGGCAAGGATGAAGGCAAAAGGTGCCAACAGAGTCAGGGAACTGGTCACCATAATCAACAATTCATAGATGCGCAGATCATTGCAAGCAAGTTTGAGGATGGCCAAGAGTTCACAAGAGAAGTGGTTGATGATGTGCTGGCCACAAAACTCTAGTGGCATGGTCAGGACCGGAACCACTGTGAGAAGAAAAGCTGAGATCCAGGATGCTCCTGCCAGCTGGGCACAGAGCTGGGCACTCATCCTCACTGAGTAGCGTAAAGGGTCACCAATGGCTATGCAACGGTCATAGGCCATGACAGCCAGCAGGAGGCATTCCACAACCCCCAAGTAGAGGCCAGCACACATCTGTGCCAAGCACTGGCCAAGGGAGATGATGGGAATTCTAACTAAACAGTTAATGATCGTCTGAGGGACAGTCGCTGAAGTGTAGCAGATATCCAGGAAGGACAGGTTGCTGAGAAAGAAATACATGGGTGTGTGGAGATGGGAATCATAGTGGATCAAGAAGAGAATAAGAGTGTTTCCCAGCAAGGTGACAAGATAGGACATCAGGAGCAGACAGAAGAAGATGGCCTGAGCCCTGGGGTGCTCTGAAAGCCCAACCAGCATGAAATAGGTCACAGCTGTGTCGTTTTTTCCATCCATCACATTCTTTATTTTTTTTAACACTAAGTGAAAAACAAAACAAAATAAGCTTCATTGGATCACAAGGTGTTCTTCCCCTACATTTTGTATTGTTCATACCAGACCAGCTTACATTGATCATTTCATTGTTACAGTGCTAAATCTCTGTGCTTCCATGAATTTTTCCTCATCTCGGTAGAGTCTTTCTGAATTGTTGAGGTCAGAAAATTTATTCACCTGGAGGCCGATAATCTGGTGACAATCCATTCTTTACTTAATGAAGCTAGTCCTTTAATGGATACCACTCCATTGTTAAGTCTCTAACTGGAAATATTCTACCTTGGTAGGACCTGAAAGATCTTGTATTGCAAGGACTGCCCTCAAACATTTATGATAACCTCCATAATGATGAGTTTCCCATAACGGTATAGCAGAGAATACTGGCTATAGTGTCAGATTGTTGTTATCAAGTTGTGTTTGACTCTTTCATGACCCCATTTGGAGTTTTCTTGGCAAAAACATTAGAGTGATCTGCCATTTCCTTCTCCAGCTCATTTTATAGATGAGAAACTGAGGCAAACAGGGTTAAGTGACTTACCTAGGGTCACACATTTAGTAAGTGCCTGAGGCTGGATTTGAACTCATGAAGATGAGTCTTCCTGATTCCAAGCCCAGTGCTCTATCCACAGCACCACCTAACTGCCCCAATTGTCACAGTACTTGGTTTCAAATCCCACCTCTGCTGCTTCAGTCAATCAATCAATGAGAATTGTTTGCACCTGTTTTGTTCTGGGTATTGTGTTAAGGACTGTGTATAAGATAGGAACAGGAATAGGGACTGGACTGACAATTTTACTGGTACAGGGATCTCCCAAATGAGTAAACATCCTCCGTATGACAGTTCAACACCTCGTCTACAATCGAGAGATTTAGCAATTTGTTCAATACTGACAGCCAGTGTGTATTAGAGTCAGGGCTTGACCTAAAGTCTCCTTGGGTTAGGCCAATGCTCTCTACCCACTATTCTCAAATGCCTCTCTTTAGAGGTGGTGGGGATACAAAGACAAAATAAAATCATTTCTGCCTTCAAGGAGATAATATCCTCTTGGGAGAGACAAATTGCTGAATGCTTATGTGATCTTGGACAGATCACTCTGGACCTCAGTTTCCTCATCTGTAAAGTGAGGGCATTGGATTGGTTGCTTTCTGAGGACCCATCCAGCTCTAAATCTATGACCCTGTGATTTTTGGTGGAGATTAGAAATTATGATGATAATCAAAAAGCTACTCATTTGTACACTGCCCTTTACACTTTCAACCTGCGTGGAGACACCGAGGCATCATGGGAAAAGCCCTGGAATACAAGTCAGGAGCCTCAGCTTCTAATGGCAGTTCCATTACTAATTTACTCTGTGGTTTTGGGAAAGGCATCCCAGCTCTCTGGGCTGGGGTTTTACTAGATGGTGCCTTTAGCTCTGATACTCTATGACACATATGATTCTATTTGAGCCGCACCACAGCCTTCAGAGGGAGGGAGCACACATGTTATCATCATCACAGCGCAGATGAGAAAACCGAAGCAGAAATCTTGCCAATGTCATCATGCAAGTAGTTCAGTACTGAAATGCGCATCCTACTTATTAGAGCCGCTGTCTCCTTTTTATCCTTTTCTACTTCTGCACCTATGTATAGGCAAATACCTTCATCCACCTGGACACCACTCACAGTCTAGAGCAAAAGGAACTTTCAATCATCCCTTAACTAGGACACTTTGCCCCAGGGTCCAAACCACTCCTGGTAAAGTGCAGAGAACATGGGGCTTAGAGCAGGATTGAGGTTCTAGATTCAGCCCCATTGTGCTTATTAGGGGTAGAACCTTCTTTCGGAGCCTCAATTTCCTCATTTGTAAAGTGGGAATAGTCCAGTCAGACTTTTATATGTGTCTCAGAGGTCTCTTTTGAAACTCAGATAACACCCTCCTGAATACAAAATACTTCAGAAATGTAGACTCTGATTTTTAGCCATTCAAAGACAGTAAGGAGTTTCCTGGAGAGGTTCATAGGATGTCAGAGTGAATCACTCACCTGGACCCCATATTCCTGTCTCAGTTCTTTAAAGGTCCAAATCTGGCTGTGTCCAGTGTGGTCACACCCTAATGAAAAATTGTCAGGAGTTTCAATATTGCTTATAAATGTATCTTGTTGTTGAGAGAATACTGCTTGGGGGGCATTTGGTTCTTTAAGGAGTATGAAATTTGAGAAATTAACAATAACATATATAATGTTAATGTTTGCAAAGTGCTTTACATATATGATCTCATTTCATCCTCACAATAACACCATGAGGTGGGTGCTTTCCTTACCTTCATTTTATAAATGTGGAAACGGAGGCAAACAGGGGTGAAGTGACTTGCCCAAGGCCATGCAGCTAGTAATCTGAACTCAAAGGGATTTGAATTCAAGTTCTTGACCCCAAGATCAACACTTTATCAACTATGCCACTGAGTGGTCTCTAATCATTACTATAATGTAGGCAACCATTTTCAATGAGAGAGTTTTAGACAGACTTCTGTACTGGAGGACATAAAAGTTGGGCTGTAGCTCCAGCTTTGCTCTAAATCCACTGTAATACTCTGGGTAAGTCACTTAACCCCTTTAAGTCTCAGTTTTCTCATCTGTAAAATATGGGGATAGAATGAGATAACCACTGAGGTCCCTTCCACTTTTGCTTATGATCTTGTAATCTGTCATCCTGGGAAATCCAATGAGGTTGGAACGCAGGCCCTCTAACTCTTCATCCAGCCTTGAGGCAATGTGGAATCACGAAAAGGACATTGCATTGGTATCAGTGGGTTCAAGCTCAGACACTATTGCTTATTAGCTGTGTGCTGTCAGCCTGGTCACATTACTAATTGAGGATAGAGTCGCGTTGCCTGACAGGCTTTCCGTGAAGAAAGTAAATTACAGCCTTTACAATGTGTAGAACAGAAGCTGTTATAACTAAGCTATGTTCCCCCCAGATGAGAAGCCAGAACTGTATTTGTTGTTACAGGCTCACCTCCTCCCACCCCCTCCATGCCACCATGACCAGCTCCTATCTCTCCCTTGACATTCTATGATGTCATCACCAATGCCTCAAGAAATTGTAGTTTTGAGGATTTGTAACTGCATTGGCTTGAAGGAAGACCCAGGCATGGGAAATTGATGCAAAAGGCCCAACTTGATCACTAGCCAGCAGTACCTGGTAGGTGAGTCTTTGTTCATGAGGACCAAAGGCACATTCTGTTTCTGCTATGTGAAATGCAACTCCATCCAGAACATGGATACTTCTAGAGAGGGAGGCTGTTCCATTTGACCCCTGGAAGGTAAACAATTCATTTGATAAGATAAATACCAGAAGCTTTTCCCATGGGAAAGGCCCTGCAACTCTCTGAGGCACAACCTCCTCACCTGTTGAGGCAGCTAGGCAGCACCACAGTGGATTGGGTGTTAAACCTGGAGTCAGGATGACCTGAGTTCAAATCCAGCCTCAGGCACTTACTAGCTATGCAACTATCAGCAAGCTGCTTAGCCTCCATCTGAGCTTCCTTCCAGATCTCTAAGTTACGGGGAAGCAGATACTGGCTCAGTAGAAACACTCTCAAGGAAGCAGAACTAGGGAGCAGGAGTCTCCCAAGAGAGTGAGCTCTCTGTCATGAGAAGTTCTCCAGAAGGTGGTGGGTGCAGCTTCCATCAAGCTGCGGATGGATTCCTTAAGTGGAGGCGTTTGTGTCTAATGGTAGCCATCTCTAGGGCTGTGGGGCTGCGGGTGGGGTGGGGATAGAAGAAAAAAATTATGATAATTTTGTTGTACATTTGAAAGGAATAGCAAGTTGTGCATAGTAAATTTGCAGTTTCATGTGCAATCATCTTTTTTATCTTACTATGTTGTGGAAACACTTGTTTTATTCCATAAATTGAAAATAAAATTTTTAAAAAGTGTATGCATGGAGAAGGTGTGGCCAGGCAGTCTGGCTCCTTCCATCAGCTTTGTTTTCTGAATCTGATTTGTAGCCTCTCATGTTAAGGAGAATTTGGTTGCATCATACATCCAGGGGAGGAGATATTTCAGGTTGGAAAGGAATTTCATAGATGAAGAAGGGGAAGGAAGATGTCTGAGGCAAATCCCAGGGTATAGGCTCTCTGCCTTGGTCTCTTTCCCAGCAGATGACATCACAGCGTCACAAATTAGAGCACCAGAGATTTAGAGCTGGGAGGGACCTTATAGCTCATCTAGCCCATGCCCTTTACTCAGAAGATATTTCATTTGCCTCGGGAAACTGAGGCACAGACATTTTTTAAGTTACACAAGGTCACATAGCTAAGTGTCAGATCTAAGATTCAAACTGAGGTCCATTGACAATAAATCCAGGACTTTTCTAGTGCATCGCAACCCCAACTCTAATTTATGGAATCACAAAATTAGAACTTTTCCCTTGAAAATTTGGAAGTTTATATTATCTCACCTAATTGGAAAGGACTTTAGAGGTCCTATTTCTCTTCACCTCCATTCACTGAAGGATGGTCATGTCTATACTACTTCTTGCATAAGACACCCGACCTTCTTGGACCTTCTTGAAAACCTTTCAGGACAGAGAGCTCACTCCCTTAGAGGAAGGCTTTTCCTCAGCTCTACTTCCTTGAGAGTTTTTCTGCTAAGCCGGCATCTGCTTCCCTATAACTTAGAGAATCAAAGGATCAAGGTTCTAGGTTGTTGGAAGGAAACTTAGGGGTCCTATCATGTCATCTCTTCATTTTACAGACACAGAAACTGAAGTGAAGAGACTCCAGGTAACTTGCCCAAAGTCATAGCGATGGTAGAGATCAAAGGTAGGACACAAACCAAGGTCTTCATTCTCCAAACTTGCCATTCCTTCCACTTTGCCAGTTCTGAATTCTCCCTGTGAGAATGTGCAGAACTATCCTAATCCCTCTTCCATGTGACAGCCCTTCAGGAAATAGGTCACTCTCTGCAATGACATGCCCCTCTGTGTTCTCTTCTCCGTGCTCAAAGTCTTTCAT